ACTGACCGAAATAAAGTAAACCGACCTGGAGGTTTCATTATTTACGAAAATAATGAAGAGACTTTTCTTGGCAAAATTCTTGGCTCAGAGGATGCGAGTGGATGTCAAAAATGAGCCATTCTTCAGGAAAAGAAGAATGAGAAGAGAAATGTCTGAGAATTTAAGAACCTGTCTAAAATCGATCACAAGCGTCTATAATCGGACACTACTGCCCAAAATCGGAGACTTGCCGGGTAGACAGAAGAAGCCCTCTGGAACGGAGGTTAGGGGGTATATCACATAGTAAGGTGCGGGCCATCCAAAGGTGGACAGACTACAGTGGAAAGAAGATGGAAAAACAGTGAAGAAACTAGATATTTTTAATCAATTGAGGCCAGATATTTGAAATAATAGCATCGCTTGTTTTGTTCTGTATCTCTAGAAAGCTAAATTGGCCAAATATTTAAAGATGCCTCTACAAAACTTCTGAGCCCATGTTTTCCACCGTTCCTGTGGTTGGTTCATCAATATCATTACAAACGTAACTGCAACATTCGACAATATTTCTAGTGTCGTGATCATACCAGCAGCCGCCGTATGAGAGCCAAAATGGCAACGAACGCCGGCGTCTCCAAAAGTCGTTGCATCTGGAAATCTCGAAACACATGAGGGTTTGGTCGCATTCTATTTTGGGCTCAGAACATACTTGCAGGGCGCTATTCAAGTCCAATCCTCCTGGGCACAGTTTCGTATCATTCAGACCACTCTCAGACTGACGTCTCACCCTATTTGGCGATGTTTCGCCTGAGGAAAAAAAGCATACGACCAGGATCAGGATCTGATCAACTGCCCATCTACCCCTTCCCTAACCCAGTAACAGTCAACTGACAGCATGATAGGGTTAATTTGGGTTTTGGGGAGGGGTAGGTAAGCATAAAGATGCTGTGATCTGTCAGGTTGACCCATCACTGTCTATGCAGTAATATTTACAGTTGACTATCGAAAGTAATTCGGAACAGCGCTTTTCATGATTTATTTTTTTAACTAGATGGAGTAAAAAGGCAATATTAGCAAAGCTCTTCCTCGGTTTCATGACTTTCCAAGCTTTCGATTATTTTTTTTGGAAAAGTAAACACTTACTTTGTGTTTTTATTTGTGCTTCGTAAAAAGGGGTTCGACAAATGCCTTAAATTATTGCGTAAAAATTTCTAACAGACCTGATTGATATTTTTCTTTATTCTCATTACTTGTTTGCTTGATAATGTTTTTGATTTTGTAAGGAGAGTTCCGTCTTGATCACTCATGAGAGTTTAAGTGTTAAAGACTCATTGATGTCTCACCTTCAGTTTGTTCTTCGGCCACGTGTTTCCGCTCCTCAGTCACGTGGTATATCGTGTACTGAGCGCAAAAGTCGTTC